TTTTCTCTCGAACCTTTGCACGTTTTTAATTTCAACTTCTATTTTAATATAATCCCTATTTTATGTCATGTTATCCATATATTTATTCCAGTATATAATTACTATATAGCACTTGCGTTTTCTGTTTGCGAAAAATGTAATTTGAGAGATTGAATTCTCTTCTTCTCGCAACACGCGCTCCCTGATCTCTGCTCAGACTCTCGGTTTACCGTCTCTCAGGAAAGCGGCGACTTTCTAACGCGCCCGAAAGATTAGCGTGCGAGCTAACCGGGCCTCCTTCCCTCCTCCTCCGTGAACGTATTTTTTTTTTTATTATTATTATCCTCCTCCGTCGTTTCGGTGTCGTGTCGCACACCGAGGAGAGATGCGTCGTTTCCTTTCACCCTCTCGCGTTTTCGTTATACACACACGGAATCGAGGGAAACGCGCTCGCGTCTCTCGCGATCGCGTTCCGTCGTAAATTCGCAATCTCTCCCGACCGTTTTTCGAGCACGTTGTTGTCCTCCACGGTTCTTCGTCACCATCAACGGCTTCCTTCGCGTTCCTCCTCTCGCGGGTTTCAGTGAAAGTGACAGGAAAATCGCTCGAGACGGCCGCCGCCGGGGCCGTAACTCCCCGGAGAAACCGCGGGCGAAGTGTTTTAGATTCTAACGCGCATCGCATCGAGACCGGAGGGAGTACCTACATTGAGAAAACGTATCGATGGTTGCGATCGATCGCGATGCTCGTCGCCTCGAATTTCCACCGAATGCTCAATATACCGAATTAAAATATCTGAATAATTTACAAATAGTTTCTTACTGAATATTACCATTTTTGTTTCAAGATCTACATAATTCATCTTTGAAATACGTGTATAAAATGTATTTACTTATGCACATTTTTTAATATATAAATAATATGTAATTTATGATAAATTATTTATTAATTCCTTTAGCGTAAAGTATTATTTATAACATATGAAAGAGAACACGAGAAAAAATTTATAATTTTTTATTTAACGCTTAATACTCTCTTCTATAATAATTTTCACTCTTTCCATCTCTCGTAAAAAACGAAAATCTATACTCTCTATAGTTTTGCATTTATTACCGTGGATAAAAAAGTTCTTCTACAATTATGAAATTCAACTTCTCGTTACATTGGGAAATCTAGGCAAATATATTAACATAAATGTGTTTTATTACGTACGCAAATTCGAATAGCTTGCTAATTTCATTAACATAAATAATTATTTACTCTGTTCTGCCTGCGACACATAGTGCGCAGGAGCGTCGTAAACTTTATACTACTGCGCCGAGTTCATCTCGCCTGCTATCCCGTCTCACTCCGTTTCTTCACGTTGCGTTGCATCCGGTTTTCTCCCGGTTCTCTCTCCGCGGCCGCCTTTAATTGCCGCGTCTTCCTTCTTTCACTCAATTATCCTCCTCAAATCAGCGCGGTTGGCCGTGTCGCAGGGGGCTTAAAACAATGTTCCTCAAAAACTAGGTGAACCACTTTTACGCCGCGCCGCGATTGGATCGCGCCTCGATCTTTCCGGCTATTCGCTTGCGCAAATTATTCCGTCGCGGGTAACACGAGTGGAGTGTAGAACGAGCGATAATCACGGGATATAAGAAGGCGGGATCGTTTTCGTGTAACGCGTGGATCTTTCCGCGGCGCAGTGGTTCACTCGCGCGGATTATTCCGTCGCGGATAAAACGGTGGAGTACAGAGTACGGTGAGACGATATATAGATGAATAGTGGAATATGTAGAAACCACTTTTACGCGACACGATGAAAACGCAATGGGATCTTTACGATCTATTCGCCTCTGCGAATTATTCTGTCGCGAATAAAGAGACGGGATAGAAAAAGGAGGTCGTAAAGCTTCCAGGCAAATGACAAAATTATCGTTATTCCTTTTAGCTGAAAACTGATAAAAGCGGAATCCTTTAAATACCCATATATGCACCATTAAGAGGCACCTTTATAAAACATTCCTCCTTTGCGATATTTAATCTTACAGGTGAAATAAATGTAAAAGGTTGCCTCGCTAAAAAATCTTGCTATAAAAAAACCTCTGATCTCAGACTATATTTATTTTTGTTTTATTAAAAAAAAAATACGAGGATTACGCAATTTATTAAGAGAGTCAGCTGCTGGAAGACTCGAGAAGTGTGACACTGCAGCCGAATATGTTAAACGTCTCCATCTATCATTCTCTCACTCTGAAAAATATCTTTTTATCAACTATCTACGGCATATCGATAAAAGTTAAAATCGGAAACGGTAGGAATTCTGTTATTATCGGCTTAACAATCGGCGCTTTTCAGTTTCCCTCCTTCCAATTTGGAAAATTGCAGAGTTGTAAATCACAACGCGAATTGCGACACGACGGATTAGATAAATCGGGAAAAGAGGCGAAAAAGGAGGTCGAGAAATTAACGCCGGACGATCGATTATCGTCATTCTTTCCCGTTATCACGAATTATCAGCGCGTCTTCGCGGTCGGCACGCCAGGTAACCCAATTTCGCGATATCAATGTGCGCACGTACCTGTTACGCGACTCGCGTGTCTATGTGCCGCGCGACACGCACGCATAAACTCGCTGTATAGGCACAAGGCAATCCGCGGCGGCGTCGTTTCGATTTCGCGAATAGATTTCAAACGTACCCAAGTTTCTCCCGCTCGTTGAAAAACCTTGCGAAACGACGTTGTTGCGCTCTCCAAAATAACGAGAAAACGCAAGGGATGGCCGACGAAGGTTTTCCCACTTTCGGAAATATATCGATACAGCTTAAGAACTTTGAAAAAGAATTTCAGATAAGCTTTGTGATCCCGAAGTTCAATCAATTAATTTATTCAATCTCTTTAGAATCGGGACTGAAAACGGACAGGGAATTACTTCAACCGGGATTAATTGAGTTACGTCGGGTAACGAGCCTTATACGCGAACTTTGAGAATTCCATTAGTCCTATGATAGCAAACATTCGGAGTAGGTTGAAAGCAAATTTTAGGTGATCCGATTGAAATTAAATGAGCTCCGTTTCTGGAAAACGTTTCTAGAATTTTTCGGAAGTTTGGCACCAATGCGGGGATCGAGGATTCGCCGTTGGTGATTTCTCGCAATAATCGATCACGCACAGGTGAAACAGCACGCGTGCGTACATACTCCGCGAGTATAGATAGAGGTCGGCGAAGTAAGTGCGTCAGGTGCGCTCACGTACGCTCACACAACCGTGCGTTACCTACGAGCGTTCGCAGGTGCGTCCACATCGAGGGCCCTCGAAGGATAGCCGGAGAAACGGCAGATGGTACGAACGTGTGCCGGCCAATGTCAGGTAAAAGGGATGACGAAGGGCGAAGAGAGAGAGAAAGCAGAGAAGAACGGAGTTTGGAAGACGAGGAGTTAGATTGAGAGGAAGCAATATATTTATTTACGCTCTATTTGCACAATAAAATGTGATGTAAAGAAAAATTGGAAAGTCAACATTTACGTTGGTGGCAACGTAGCGTTTTTAAGTAATCGTAAATTGCGAACTGAGAGACGAGTATCAGATAAGTGAGAATTCGGAAGCTAAAAGCTAAAATTTTATAAAATTGATAGTCAACAATTCAGAATTGAGAAATATTAAGCGCGCGTTGAAGACGATCGCGTTTAGGTGATTAATTTCGAGAAGAATAGATCTTTGCAGTTTCTACATAAGCTTCATAAATAGCGACATCGGTAAGGCGTCCCGTGTCGGATCAGGTGCCCCAAGGATAATAGGAGCGAGAGGTGTCGCGAAGATTTTCCAGGCGTTCTTGGAGCGCGCGCGCGAGCGAGCGAGCGAGCGGATGAAAGGCAGCGCACGAGCGTCGAAACGAGCGCGAGCAGCAGGAGAAGGAGGAGAGCCGGGAGAATGAGGGGAGAGAGAGAAGGCGGCAGAAGGCGCGAGCTTAAAGTTTCCCTGTTATCGGCGCACGTCTAAGCAACTGATAAAAGACCGTGTTCCTACGGACAGATAACGGGGCGGAATGGCCCGGTATAAAGAGTCATAGATAGAGGCAGATAAAGCACGGTCCACGGAACAGGTGAATGTCGCGACGTGGGCAGACCAACGCCCGTATACGTACTCGCGGCGCGTGCCGATCCGCCTGGCGATTCCGCGCGATCATCTTTCTTCGCGTCTTCGCTCGCGCTCCCGATCCGTCGACGGCCAAGTTTCTCGATCGATCGGCCGTCATCGTCGGGATACCTCCTCGGGTCGCCTCGTGGTACGCGAAAGTGCATTCCTGGTTTCTTGTGTTCCCGCCGCGCGCTCGCGCGCGCCGCGCTGCGCACCGCAACTTCCGGAAATAACGTCTCCCCCGCGCCCTTTCTTCTTCCTCCTTCCCCTTTCTTCCCTTCGTCGCTTCCGTCATCCTCCCCCGCGCGCGCCGCCGCCGCACCCCATCGCCGATCTTCTTCCCCCTTTCTGTTCCCGTATATCTCTTTTTTCCCCTCTCCGCTCGTCTTATTCCTCTCGTCTCCTTCTCGTTTCCGCAACCCGCGCTTCGCCGCCCCCGCGGCATGTAGAAAACCCATATACCTACCTATCTACCCTGTCTCTCTTTCTCTCTTTTTTTTCTCTTTCTCTCTCTCTCTCTCGTCATCTCTCTTTCGCGCTCGCGTGGATACCGTCCCCCGTCCGGTACATAAAACCTCTTGGAGATATCTTCTCCCGGCGGCCGTGGCGGAAAAAGAAACCCAATATTTCATGGAGACAGATCGTTATTGGGGCGTGCACTACAGGTACTGTCCCGCTCTCTGCGGATCGATCTCTCGTGGCAGAGGAAACGGTACAACGGGGATGACTATCGCGGCTTGGGAAAAAGGCGGGGGGGGGACGGGGGCTCTTCTCGTCGTTTCCTATACGGGTCGTCGTCGTCGATGACTTTTCGATGAATCCGTCGACGCGAAGGAAAAGCCACTCGGGGGGGAAAAGGAAAAAAAAAAGAAGCACTCAATCGATCTTTCTATTTTTCTGTTGCAGCGGCGGTATGGCCGGGCAGCACTACTGCCTGCGCTGGAACAACTACCAGTCGAATATGACGTCGGTGTTCCACCAGCTCCTGCAGACCGAGGCCTTCGTCGACGTCACCCTGGCGTGCAACGAGGCCTCATTAAAAGCGCACAAGGTAGGCTGGTGTACGTGTACGGAGAGAGGAAAAGAAAGAGAGAGAGAGAGAGAGAGAGAGAGAGGCAGAGAGATAGCGCGACCACGATGAACGGCGCTCGCGGAATCGAACGTCAGACCTCGATCCAAGAAGAACGAGAAACTGCAGCGCCTATGACAGATTATTCCCGGCGTCTCACGCGATAAAAATTGTGAACAGAAAGAGTCTATATTAAATTAAAAAAAAAGAAAAAAAAATCACATTTAGTACAATATTCGGTTAAAAATATCAATAAGTATCTGGCGTCGATTTGAAGCGGTGTCTACGTCAATCATATGTAACGCTATGTATAGCTCTGTCTCGATTACTCAAAGTCATCAAGATTGCAAAGCAAGACGCGTAGCGGATAATCGCGCTCGCGCCTCGACCCGGCATCGATCCGCAATCGCTCGCAACATTTTGACACTACCGAAAATATTTATATCGGTGCGTGGCAGCTCTCGAATAGTAAACGCTTTCTGATTCTTAATATCTTGATAGCTAATTGAAACGTCGATATTTAACTTTGAACGTGGAGAAAACTCGTACGATGGAGCACTCGGTAGTTTCAGCACGTTTTTCGAGGAGCAAAGTGGAAATAGTCGCGCCTGCACGAACGCGCTTCTTTTGCATTGCCCGGTACCTACCTCCGCGTGTCGAGATTTAATCGGGATCGTCGACGTGTCTACATGTCTGAAACATTTTTGTTATTTTTTTCTACGTGTTCCAGGTGGTGTTGTCGGCCTGCAGCTCCTACTTCCAGAAGCTCCTGCTGTCGAACCCCTGCAAACACCCGACGATCATCATGCCGCAGGACGTCTGCTTCAACGACCTCAAGTTCATCATCGAGTTCGTCTACCGCGGCGAGATCGACGTTTCGCAAGCGGAGCTTCAGGTGAGTGCGCGAAGAATAAGGTCGATCTTTCGCCGCGTTCGTCGACCGACGACGCGATGCGACGTCGCGAACGACGATTTCTCCCCTCGAGTCGGACTCGAATCCGACTTGAATTTTCGTCCGACAAAAGCCGAAACGCGACAGTGCCGCTCGAAGGGTATCGATGACGCGAAGCTATAAAATGAGTCTCTTTCCCCCGCTTCTCTAAGTTACAGAATGACTCGTAGCTGGTTCTTGTTTCAGAATGTCGCTACTTTATTGATTCCATGATTATCACGATGAGATTATATTCCCGTTCTCGTACGGCAATTTTTAGGAAGATAAAGTGTCCATTTAAGAACGTATAAAGCATATGTATAATACACAGAAACATTTGGGGAAACAGCTCCGGTGATAATTGACGTCGTTATCTCGCAATATCTGAATTGCTCGAATCAACACAGTTAAACTTGTAGTGTCAAATTATATTCAATTTGAGTCGTTTTGAACCATTTCTATAAGTCGCCACTGCTCCTACTCAATATATCATTAATTTAACTTAACCAATGAAGTGTTAAAACAATAAATTTTGACACACATGGTAATTAAAAACAACATATTATTTAACTCAAGGTATTGATTTAAATTTTATTTTAAGTTTTCCTTTAATATTTAACAGAGAAGTATCACGATGCTAGTGGTCACGGCTCGTAATCATTCAAAAGTGGTACCAGCCGTGACTCTCTCGAAACGCCTGCAGTTGATGTTTCTTCGGGGGGCCCCTGGGTGCATCGCAGGTCCCGAAACGTTCGAATCGCGGTGCGCGTCACGATATTAAATAACGACGAGCGCGATCGCTTCGTTTTATCTTATCGCGTTATTACGACGCACCGCGAGAATCGTACTGTTATGCGTCTTACGCCGCGAGATCTTTCGCCAAATCGATAGCGGTTCTGCATGGAACGATTACAAAAGCTCAACGAAGAAACGCTTCCCACTGAAACTGACGACATATAAACATTTTACGAATCGATCGATCTCTTCGAATTGCGAATATCTCTGTTTTAATTATCTGCATTTCTTTTTCCTCTGCGTGACTCCGCGTGTTCTCCATGCGATGTTCGCGGAGATGAAACTCGTTCGCGTGCATCGACGTGCTCGAAACCGGCGAGAAAGTACACCGGCTTTTTCTCCTTTTTTTTTTCTTCTCGAATGACTTAAGTGCCTTCGATCCTAGTTCGGATTTTTTTAGCACACCTCTGGAATTCGTACAACGCGCAGCGGTAAGAGAGAGAGAGAGAGAGAGAGAAAGAGATGCCGAGGATACTTTCTCGCCGGAAACCGTCCAGTTACCATCTGGCAATTTCTAGCTAAGGTCTGTAAATATTTCTGAAAGAATCCATTTCAACGTATATTCTTCAAACTCTAAACAGAACCAATAACAAAAGTTGAGGAACTTCTTGATTGATACATTACGATCTTTCGGGATAAACTACGTTTTATCGGACGTAGATATTACCGACATTCAGTTACCGACCTTACCGTCTCTTACCGACCAAATAAATCTACAATTCCACGGTTAACCACCATCGTATTGTTACCGACCGCCGGAATCTCTGCGATTTTCTTGCGGATCCATTTTTGTAGCATCAAATGGACTGCAGCCTAGAGCTGATGGTCATTGCTTCGAAGGCTTCGATATTCGAACTTCCGCACTTCGAAGAATCAAAATTATAAATTATCCTTGAAGTTTAACGTGTCTTCAAAGCTTATAAGTTAACTTTGAACTTGCAATGTCGGGTCCGTATTCATTGTCTATTCTTATTTGACTGTCTTAAGTAATGTCTTGACGCTAATACGACTCAGTGATTGGTTTATGTTTATGACATCTTGGGGTCTGAGCAGAATAGCTGACTTATAATTCTAAGACAATGTTTTATGCTTTACATTTTTGTTTTTAGTAACACACAATACTGTTTTGTGTTCAGGTCTTACAAATATTAAAACTTTGTGCATATACATACAAGACATGAGACACAAGACAGTATTGTGCGTTACTATAAACAAAGATTTAAACCATAAAACATTGTATTAAAATTATAAATCAGCTATTCTGCTCAGGTCCTATGATATATTGTACTTAAAACCAGTCCGACTATGAATACCGGCCGAAGAGTAACAGCCTTACTACCGACGGCGGATGTTCGCTGCTTTACCGATTTCCGCCGACAAATTCTCTACTTCACGGTCGGTAAACGGATGTCCCTTGGCCGGTCATATCCCGCTCCGGATTCTCGCTGAATTCGTTCGCGCGTCCGTCGCCGCGTCGCGCACGCCTCTCGTGCGCGTTCGAAATGCCCGCTTCGGCCGCGGCCGGCCGGCCGGCACGCGCGCGGGTCGCTTTTTCGCGGAGTCTCGGCGATATCGCGCGCCGTCCGGCTTTATCGTCGCGACGTGCGCGCCTGAAAAAACTTTTTTCCCCGGTCGCGACGCGTCCCCGCGTTCACGAGTTTGTGTGTGCCACGTGACTGTGTGTCTCTCTCGTGCCGCCGAGTGCCGCTCCAGATTTTTCCGCGCGAGAGGGGAAGAACCCAGGTATATCTCGCGGGCGGATAAGATAAGAAGCCATGCGGATTGCCGGCCTACCCAAGGATGTCTCGCCAGTAGATAAGAGGTACGGCGCGCGGCTGCGCTACCCTTCCGCCTCTGGTTTTCTTTCTTTCTTTTTTTTTTCTTTCTTTCTCGACTCTCTCTCTTCGCGAAGATGCGCCGTTTTCGCGCCGACACGACGGACCGCGATTTATCGCGGCAAGAATGTAACGTGCTTCGTAGGTAGACTCGTTGTTCCAGCGTGATTGTTGACTGTGAGGTCGTTTTGAGTAACGCGAGACTCGAATGCGGCTTTATCGCCGTACAAGAACACGAACCATATATTCTTTTATCGTGAGAAAATTGCAGGAAATGCAGGGAGTAGACAGTGACAAGAATTCATCATTCATCAATAATCACGGCGTAAATTGTCCGTATTAAATTCCGTTTAAATAACGAGCAAATATCGCGGACTGATTGCGTTGAGAATATCGTTATTGAAAATATTGACTAAATTAATATTTGGATCCGGAAACTTTACGAAAATAATTATAATGAATTATCTGGGATGCGTGCGCGCATTATCCTTGCGTTTCGGCTTTCGCGCGATAATTTATTTTGCACAATTAACAAATTAGTTTTATATTGTTCCTAAATTATCGAGAATAATTCCCAGCGTTGATTTTATTACGTTATATAGTTCCATTCAAGACCACTGTCACCGCGTGGGATTTATTTTGCGAATTTTCCGCGTTGTCGAGGCTCGTTTCTAACTCGATAAGTAGAATTAACATATGTCTGCACGAAATGCTGGAATTTCGTCGAACTTCCGACGATTTATCGCATTCCAGGACGGTATAATTTACTCGTAAACGACTTCTGCGCGCAACCAGCAATTTTTTTGAATTTTATCTCAAATTTGACGAAAGGAGGAAATAAATATGTGCGATATATTAATTGCATTGTAATGTTTCTTTTACAAATGATCGAAATACAATAAATTAATATTCCGCTTGCGCGTACGTATAATTCGTTTAACCTAAAAAAATTGTTTTCGCTTCAATTCTCACGTTTTTTGCCTCCAATCTTAATCCGGGAACGGGCGTCTGAATTTTTTTTGCATAAATGGTCACCTGGAAAACTTTCAGACTTTTACACCCCAATTAAAAATTATTGTTATTAATTACATATTGCATATTTTTGATTATTTAATAATTTATTAATATTTGAGGACAATATGTATACAGATTTAGACAAGACAAAAGATTTAGAAAAACAAAAAAGGCATTAAAATTACTGTGATGTAAACTTATACTTTTTTTTATACTAAGGGCCAAAGCACATATGACAGTCGTAGTCGTGGACGTAAGAAACGCACAAGCTTTGGCGTATCCTGATTTGTCAGGTCGAGGACTACGACTGTCGTATATCGCTACGCCATGTTATGTGCTTTGGCTCTAACGTGTAAAAATCACCCCAGCCCCAGGCGCCCGTTCCCGGATCAATCGTCATTAATTTACGATTGTTGATTTCGATGGAGCAGTTTTCTCAGCTAACACGGTTTGGTCCAAATCGAACCCGATCGTTTCTTCTCGTATCGCGGAATCGCGAGCCGGGCGCGGAAAACACGGTCGCGACGCGCGATTTATCGGAAAGCCGCTCTCTCGCGGACGGGAGATTATTTTCGCCGTTCCTCGCGTGAAACGAAGGGGACGCTTCGCCGACCCGGCTATTTGGATCGCGCGCGAGACGCGGCCGGACGACGAACCTGCACGGCACCGTGTGTTTCGGGCCAAATTTAAATCTTTCTAGCCGACAAACACGGCCCCCGGGGCGCGCCGAGTCGTCGAATGCACGATCGCGACGACAAGCGACGTACTTGCTCGTTCGTCGCTCCTCATCGCGATTGATCGGAGAACGAAGCGTCTTTGCGAGAGAAAACCCTCGCGCGAGGAATAAAGTGCCTCGATCTTGACGTTTATTTCTACTGAATTAATTTATCACCGATAAATGAAAGTATCTTGCTCGATGTTTCGTCGGGTACGAGAGACGAGACGAAGCGAAGCGTTCTCGAGCGAGTGTCTGAAAAGAGCCGAGAGGTCCCCGCGCGTGACAAGCAGACCGTAATTCCAGAATTTGTCAACTGGAACCCGGTTCTTAAATCCAGTCTCCCCCTCCCCCTAATTCGCCATCGTAAAAATCTTCAAACTCTCCGAAATTCAATTTTCCATCCCCGACTCGTGTTAGCGAGTTTTTGACGTAAAAAAAAAAAAGAAAAAAGTGGGACGCATTGACAGGATAAACGCCGGATTTCTCAGCGCAATTTTACGTTCGGCCGATATAATATAAACGAGCAGCTCGGTCGCGGACGGGAATTCGAGATCGAGGAAGGAACCTATTTCGCTTTTTCACGGGCGCGATTGTTTGTCGCT